CAGTGGAGAATTGGTTTTTATAGTAGATTTTGAGTTGTTCAGTGGAGTTGTCGGTAGTGGTGTTTTTTTTTGGCGGCTGTCCAGGTATCGTTGAAGTGTCTTGTCGAATGTGGTATTACTATATCCATTATTGATGAATGTTTGTCGGAGTGTAGCAATTCTGTTGTGAAATAGATTCCAATCTGAGGATATTTTGTAGGTACGGTGGATGAGGGCGTGGATGGTTCCAGTTTTGTATCTATGAGGGCATTCACTCTGAGCGTTGAGGTAGATTCCCTGATTAGTGGGTTTTTGATAGACAGATGTGGCGTATGTGCTGTTGTTAGCGTGGATATGTACATCCAGAAAATTGATGGTTTTGTCAGTGGCTATTTCGTGGGTTGTTCTAACAACGTTAAAACGGCTTATCGACTTCTTGAGAAGATTTCCAAGAAGAAAGTAAACCTACAGACATCGGTCTTATTCAACAAAATCTGCCTATAAGAAAATCTGTCACCAAAGTACACCAACATATATATGTGTGTGTATATATAACTATTCATAACCATCAATTGAGAAATAATGACAGAAACTTCATTCCAGATTCAAATATTGAAGCCAGAAAGTATGGGGTTTCCAAAATTACATACCAGGACAATTCAGGCTAATAGCTTTCTATCACTTTCAATTACTTTTATCTTTATCAGTAACATTTTTAAGGAATAATTATCATCACCGCTGGAAAGATAGCGTTTTTCGTCAATAATCCAAAAACTACCAACTATGATATAGCCAGAAATTTTGAACCGAAATAAATATCTATCGTAGTTATGCAAACCCTGTTAATATTTATCCACAAAACTTATTAAAATATTCTAAATTCTCTTATGAAATATTACACTACAACTTACCTTTTCTAAAGGTAATATCAAGAAAGAACCTCCTCCTGTGGATTCCGTTATAATGGCAATAAACTTTGGATTCACTGCACAAAGGTTCCCGTCATGAGCGTTCGTGCTTATTCGTATACATTCATAACACTTTTCTTTTCTTGAAGGGCTACCATATAAATGTCTGAATTTGCTATTTCGTACTCCTCGAAATGTCATCTATAGAATAATTCAATATCAGCACAAAATGAATCAGGGTTGAACCAATTATTCGCATACACTCATAACATGTTTCTTTCCTTGAAGGGCTACCATATAAATGTCTGAATTTGCTATTTCGTACTCCTCGAAATGTCATCTATAGAATAATTCAATATCAGCACAAAACGAATCAGGGTTGAACCAATTATTCGCATACACTCATAACATGTTTCTTTCCTTGAAGGGCTACCATACAAATATCTTAAAACTTGCTGTTTCGTACTCCTCGAAATGTCATTTATAATGCAATTCCATATCAGCACAAAATGAATTAGGGTTGAACCAATTATTCGTATATGTTATGTAAGTAGCTAAATTATGACGCTTAAACTAATAATGAAAGTAAAATATATTCTATTATTAAGACAAAACTATAACACACAAAACTATGGGCACGAAATTGCTCCCTAATGTCTCCCTAGCATAACTACCACACATAGTAGTTTGAGAATAAGTGTTGCCGCAAACATTCCTGAGCGAAAGTGTTGCTGCAAGACATCTCCAAACTATTAGACTTATGTCAAAAAATTAATCGCATCCCGGTTGCTCCTCCTTCCATCCTTGTTGCAATCTGAAGCTAACTTTCGTCAATGTTTGTATTTTTCGAGCAATAAGATTTACTAGATTTTTCTCTATGTTACAAAAACACCAAAGCCTTAAGTTAGCAAGTCTTATAATTATAGGACAGACTGGTAATTTTTATGCAAAGTACTAGAACTTCTATTGTACATTATCCAGTGTGACCAATTTTTAAATTAATTCCGCAATCTATTGCTGCTATTTCTTGTCGTTCTGAAAAAAGCGTATATTTGTGTGCAGTAATGTGATTGACTGAATATAATTCCTTAAAAATGAAGTAAAAAATACGAGCTTTTAAGTTGCCACAACAATTATGTCTGCGTTACGATCCGACTGAAATGAACTATACCTTTGTTTGCTATGCCTAGTTTCCAATTAAAGTGACTATTACTTGTAATAATTTGTTTGTAATTAAGCACAAAGCTACACAATGGGCTATCTGTGTTCTGCCCACCACGGGTAGCGAGACCGCAGACATACCGCTGTACCACTGGGGGCACTTGTAATAAAAAGGTTTATTAGGTCCTAATCTGAAATTATAATGTGGACATTTATTATTTAGGTGTTTAGCTGTGTCCACTTCTAATTTTTTTCATTTTGCTCGTTCCTCATCGTATACACTCTATAAAATCATTATCAATTAGGAAGCCTTTACCAAATAAGTTTCCATTTCACTTCTTTACCAACTTCAAAATTATTATTGCGTTTTCCTGAAATTTTACTTCACATAGCATGGACACTTTATACCAAACTCTCTTTTTTCAAATGGTGTGGCCTAAAACTTGCAGGAATACGGTTTAAGATGTGATGTTGCGCTTTCAACTATGGGTTTATTACAAAAATTACACTTAATACTGTTTTTGGGTTCAAAGGGCTAGATAAAACCCTTATGGTGGTGGGTGCAATTGTCTACTTGTCCTCCTACCAGTCACTTACTCAAAATTAAACATGACTATACTTAACAACTAGAGGTCTTTGATCTGACTGTTTAGTCTACACACACGTACCTGTATATATTAGGTCGTCAAGAAATGAATGTCGCGTTTTGGAGCACTTTCATTAACCATCCCCCAGAAACTGTACATCACGTCTAATAATTAAACGAACCGCCTAAACGTCACGTTAGTGTAGCCTATATAATGTGTAAAGTTTAGTATACTCTAATCCCTT